AGATTTCAGATAAAACTGGAACATCTTAGTCATCTCAGTCAACATCTTGTCAATAAACTTCAGCCTTCAGACATCTGTGTGAACTACAGATCAGGTAAGCAAGCAAATGCCTCTATTCAACCACAGTCCTGAATCTTGGATTAATTCAGGAACCTTTCAGCCAGAGATTCACTTTGAGAATTAATGCAGCAAGCAACAAGAAATCTTTGGAAATCTTTTGGCAAAGTACTGCTTCACTGAGTATATAAATACTCTTCTAGGTTTTGCAGAAGTGTACATTACCAAAGTTGATAATGCAGTGATTAAAAAGCTAATTAGCAAAATGCTTAAGATGATAGAAAATGAATACATAACTGCAGGTCAGAAATGTTGCCTCCAGGAAATTAAAAACTAATTTCTTGGCAAACAGTCAAGATTATAATATTGTTTCTTTATCTCAAAGCACACTTTACTTTCTGTATCTCAATGTACCTTCCAGCTTCTGGATGTACAATAGGAAGAGGAAGTCATCTTCATATGCTAATTTTAGCAGACCCAACACACTCAGCACATTTCTTATATGTTTGGCTTTGTAGAAAGCAAAGGCCTTGTCCTTTGTGGAAAAAGCTTGTTTCTGCCTATTGAACTTCTGCTTCATGCCATTACTTTCACTAGTCCTTTTCTCATAAGCTGAGTGGGCTGTAACTAGAAGAACCAGGTGAGGAAAATACAACCATGCAGCTTCTGCACAGCTGTGAACCAGCTCACTAATGAAGAACTAATTTATAATGATCCCAGCCGATGTCAGAAAGAACCAACCCCACTCCTCCGAGACATTCCTCAGAGGGAAACCAAAGACATGTATCATTTTACTGCTACAGGATGCCCCAAGATGACAAAAATTGTGTGCAACCCTTCTTCAGGAGTGATGCCTGCCTTGCACAGTCACTCATTTGGCTCACTTGGCCAATGCTTGCCTCTTGCATCCTTTCTCCATACCTTATCTCCAGAGCCTGGTTTCTGATCCCAAATCAAGGGGATGCTCCATGGCCTCTTTCTTCTCCGAATGCCCCCCAGGCACCCCAGGCAGACTTTGAGTGAGGGCAGTGCTGCCCAGAGACTCAACACCGTTCCCAGTGAGGAACCAAGCTCTTCCCACAAACCCAACAATTAGGTCCATTATGATTGTATATCCAGCACTTGTGGATTATGCCTTTAAAGAAAAAAACCTATTTCACCATCACTTGTCCAAATTCTTCTGAGTTTGCCCCAGAGTTGGATAAAAGATGCAAAAAGACAGGCTTTTTAATCCTTTCAATTAAAATCCTGAGCCAGAATTAACTAATTATAATTCATGACCTGAGCCCTGGTGCCTGAAACCTGCCCTGGGAAAGCAAAAGGGCTGCCCTTACCTGGGACAGGTCTATGCAGAGTGAAGGGCCTATGGAGTCCTTATCTCCTTCACAGCATTCACTAATGAAAACTGAGAAATTAGTTCCACTAAAAGAGGCCTTCAATGCTTTCTTTTTCCTGAAAAGAACTGCATCTGAATTTTCATCTAAAGCCTATTGCTCAAATTATTTCAACTTTGCTTTAAAAATAATAAAACCTTAAAAATACTAAAGCTGTGCTTTAAAAGTAATAAATAGAGATCAGTATTATGAATGTTGAGGAAAACTGAAAAGGAATAGATGAAAAAATATTTGGAAAATCAAAATAGCAGCATTTTTCAAATAGTTCTACCTTGGACCACTGAAACCAGATGTACTGTAAGGTACATCAGTAGTGTAAACCTTTGGGCCAAGTCTGTTGTCAGTTTGAAAAAAATGGACCCTGCACAATTCACGCTATATACTTGTGACTTGCTGCAATTTCTGGGCCAACTTGAGCAAGTCATTTAAGCATGTGCCAGATCAAAGCACATTTAGGAGCCTGATTGGCTGCAGAGGGCAGAGAGTCAGTCTTTCAAGAACACCTCTGCACTTTGAACAAATGCCTTAAACTGATTGCAGGATGTGGAAGCCAGAAGATAAGGGGCTAATATGTATGTCTCAAACACTGATAGCCACAGAGCTGTGGAGCCAACCAAGGATTGTTGGTAGTGCCAGCCAATTACCAACCATGACGGGAGAAAGGGGCCAAATGGAAGTAGGGCAGTGCCTTTCTGGCAAAAGTGTCCTTGTTCTGGCTCCCAGAGTTAGCACAACAGAGTACAGCTGAGGCACAGGAGTGATGCTGATGAGCCAGCATGGAATGTAAGGGGGGATCAAGAGTACCCAAGATCCCTGAAGCCCCCCAACCCATTTCCACAAAGGTCAAACATAACGGGCTGCACATGATAACTTGTTTGCGTAGAGAGTGACAAACTTGGCTCCAGTGCATGGAAACTTCACTATAAAAAGGACAACAAAGCCAGGACACACATGTGTTCCAGGGACCTGCATACCTATCAGCTGGATTGATGCTGGAACCAGGACTCGTGGTGCTGCCCTCTTCCTTCTGTTCATTCTCTCTCCTCCTCTTTAATCCTCTCTCTCTCTCTCAGTCCCTCTCCTTTCATCCTAACCCTTTACCAAAATCCACTGCCCCATGCTTATACAGGAGGTCAGGGATTACCATACACATTTCCATGCCAAATGTGTAATTTATTAATAAAACTTTGTAAGCTTTTGCAGGCACTCTTACTTTTGTCGTTCCTTTCAACCCCAAGGACCTATGATCCTTGGGAGCTCCCTTCTGTGCAAGGGTGGGATGCCACACAGGACCCATTAAAATGGAAGTACACAATAAATCAGCGATTTAGGTCTAGCTAGGCATAAATATTTACACTTTTCCTTGAATGGACACTTGCCTTGAATTAAATATTCCTAGTTAACCAGCCATGCTTATTCACTTTATTTTAATGTTAAACTACACAATGCTGGCTGAGGACTCCAGCAAATACTAGGACCAAGATTAACAAAAAAATCATAACGTTATTACAGAGAAGCAATAAACAACAATTTTCATAAATTTGATTAACACTATGAATGCTCAAAGAATATAGAAGCGTGATTTTCCTGCTTCTAATAATTTTAGCATATTATTTACTTGGAGTTATTTTCAAATGCTGATACTAATGGGGTAGGAGAGGCAGGAGGGGAGGGATACTAAAAATAATGGTAGAGATGTGTGAGGGTGATGTGTGCAAATACCAACTTGCAGGCGTACATAGGTATGTGCACATGTAGTTATGCTAAATATCCATGAAAATTGATCTAAAACACCATCAGGGGAAGGGATTTGTATGCACAGCAAGCCGCTGTGTCAGGATTATGAATGTTGATGTCAGTTTGAACAAATGGATCCTGCACAGTTCACTCTATGTACTAAATCAGGATTAATACCTCTGGATTTTGGAAGCCAAAAATATAAATCAAACATGTGTCTGTCTAGTTTGGATGGCCACCTGAAATTAGGTATATTATACAGATGTTCTACCAGAGAAACCCAGGTGAGCCTGAAGAAGAGCATTTATTTGTTCACCCAACACATGAATGGAACATGAGGGGAAAATTTGTGTGGGAGCATTGGCCTGCCACTGATCAATTAGGAACTAATGTTCCTCCTTTTAAAAAGAGCACAAATACGCACCCCAAGTAGGGTATTTGTGATTTATTTTGCCAGTCCTTGAATTAACAGGCCACTGCATAATTCTGGAGATGGAGAAAAACCATCAACCAGCAGCCTGGATTTTTGGTGCAATTCCAGCTTGTTTTTAGATTCCCTAACTGGCTTTGGCAGATCTGGAGCAAAGAATTGCAGTGACAGAGCCCCTTCAGCGTTTGTGCTCATATCACCAATCTGCCATTCACAGTTTAACTCTTGACAAGCCTTTGCCCATTGTCTCAGTGACAGGGGCCAAACTAAAACCCAGGACTCAAGTTGTTCACATCAAGATCCAACTGTTTTCAGTTTGCTTCACTACTTTTAGCCTGGGAGAAGTACAGTTCTGAATCTAGGTTAAGAATGGCTGCCTTCCTGTTTTAAAGCTATTTAAGGAATTTCTAGTATACATGGTCTGTATGTATAAATATTAAAAAGGGACAAAAAAAACCCTGAAAAATTCACTCATTTTTTAAGAAAATAGCAGACCTACAGTAATGTATAGCTGAATCTAATATATCTGATACTGGTCCCAGAAGGAAGTCTATGTTCTTCTTAGAAATGGGATTGCATGCTAAGTAACCTCGGATAGCTCCAGGCCAAATATAACTTACAATAGTGTTTTGAGGCTTACTAAGAAAATGCAGACCCTCTCTACTTTCTGCATTACAGTCATCCTGAATCAGAAATAAAAATTTGTTTGTCTACTAAATTAGTCAGTCCCCCACTCCCACCACAAGCCCTTGCCCAAACCAAATTCTCTTATACAATTCAGGAAGATTGAATGCCTAGTTGCCAACATTTGGGTACCCCTGTCTACTGTTCTCAGCACTCTGAAACTGGTGATGGTTACACCACAAAGCAAATACCTTCTACACATAAGAACTGGACACAAAGCACATAAGGACCAGAAACTGAAAAACCAACCTAGTGTTCATTTAGTGGGCAGAAAATGTTCAAGTCCACAAAGGCAAAAGCTCTCTCCTCTCCTCTCCTCTCCTCTCCTCTCCTCTCCTCTCCTCTCCTCTCCTCT